ATCACATTCTGAGGCTCGTTCCGGGAGGCTGCATCCAACCCACTAGAGCGGCTGAATGTCAGTAACTCGCCATCCTGTGTATTTTGTTTCATGTATTTAAAACATTCTCCCAGACAAGGCATCTGAGATTCCCCAGGCTGCCAGAGGGGCCGTGGTGCAAATAGGGAAGAAGCCAGGTCTAAGCCACGCCCGTCTTTTTAGGAAGAGGATCAGGAACCCGGACACTGAAGGTCAGGGTTGGGCACAGCCGAAGATGGGCAGCCCCCCTCTCCCCCAGCACCTCCTGCCTGGTGCCTCCTCCACAGCCTCTGCATCCTGGAAAACAGGCCATTCCACGCACTGCAGCAGCTCCTCTACCTGGAAACTGCTTGGGCCATATAGCCCCCAGTTAGGGAGAGAAACCAGACACATACTGAACAAGAAGCCCCACCAGGAGAGGTGAGACCTGGGCCCCAGCCCTGGACCTGGCCGTGGGTACTACAGAGGGTCAGGGGGCATCGGCCTGCACTGAAGGGTCTGGAGAGGCACCTCTCAGGGAGTTGGGACAGAGAGGAGACGCTGTCCCAGTGGTGACCTCCAATGAGGCCTGGAGAGACCAGATGGCAGGAAGGGCTTTGCTGGGGCCAGAGTGAGGGCACAGAAGGCAGGTCTCATGGAGCAGGGACCATGGAGGGGACATGGGGGACACTAGATGGACAGTGGCCGGAAGATTCCATGGGCCGTGGAGATTAAATCAGGTTCCCCAAAGAGCAAGCTGTGGAGAGGGGAAAGTTGCCTCCCTCTTCCCAACTGGATTCTTAGACTGCCAATAAACGATTGACAAAAGACAGACGCACAAGAGACAACAGTTTTAAGGCTGTACCTACGCCCGGAAGTGCCATAAAAACAGGAGACTCAGCAGTAGCCAGATGGGAGCAGTGCAGATGTCCGTCCTCAGCGACAGAAAGGAAAGGGGGCCTGGGCTTCTGGGGAGCGGTGGAGACAAACGAGGAGAGGGTGAGGGAGGAAACATCTGGGTATAAAGGCTGCCTCGTGGTGAAGCTATCAGTCTCTTGGTGAGAAAATGTGTCCTGGTGTGGCTCTCTTCCTGGCGCACATATCATTACTAACGAAAATGTCCTTTATAGATGTCAATTTCCTTTAGAAAAGAGAGTTTTACGCTTTATTTTAGGGAGTTGAAGAGCTTTTATCTGTTGGCTGGTTCTCAGTTTCTTTTAGCTCAAAGTAATCAACATGTCAACATGGCATATTTTGGGGTGGCATATTCTGGTTTCCTACAGTCATATTTTGGGGTGACGTATTCTGGTCTCCTACAGTCACATTTTGGTGTGGCATATTCTGGTCTCTTACAGTCATATTTTGGGGTGATGTGTCCTGAGTCCCATTGTTTCCTAGTCTGAAACTTCCCCAAGAAGCTCCATGGTACAGAAACTGGGTTGGTGTGTTGTCTCGTAACGCTTTAAAGAGGCATTTTTTTTTTTTTTTTTTTTTTTTGAGACGGAGTCTGGCTCTTTTGCCCAGGCTGGAGTGCAATGGCCGGGTCTCAGCTCACTGCAAGCCCCGCCTCCCGGGTTCACGCCATTCTCCTGCCTCAGCCTCCCGAGTAGCTGGGAGTACAGGCGCCCGCCACCTCGCCCGGCTAAGTTTTTTTGTATTTTAGTAGAGACGGGGTTTCACGGTGTTAGCCAGGATGGTCTCGATCTCCTGAACTCGTGATCCGCCCGTCTCGGCCTCCCAAAGTGCTGGGATTACAGGCTTGAGCCACCGCGCCCAGCCTGAAGAGGCATTTCTTAAACACAAAAGAAAAAAATGCTAATCATTGGAGCTGACTAAAAACTCGTTTCTGGGTGTGGAGGCTGTGGCAGGGCCGGTTTGTAGATCCTGGGCTCCGAGCGTCCTCTGCGGTTTGGTCTCTGGTGATGTCTGGGAGGCCAACACAGCAACAGGCATGAGGGCCCTTCACACCTGGGCTTCGTGCTCATCTCACTGATGTTTATTTCAAGTCGTCCAGCTTCAGTTTGCAGGATTTCTGGGCAAAGGGCAGTTTTGTTCTTCATGATTCCAATAAGAAGGGTGGGAGAAAATTGAAAGTGTTAATTTGGAGAGTTGCAGCAAGATACTGAAGGAAACTAGAAACATCAGGAACCAGTCCAGTTTATAGACATCAATAGATAACAAAACCCCAAAGAAATTAAACAGGAGGAGAATCTAATATGGGGCACACAATATGGCTTTCTACTGAAATATATGTTCTCTCTACATCACCTCTCTTTCTACTAAAAATAATCTCAGTAAGATGATGATGATGATTATCATTATTACTATTATTATTGAGATGGAGTTTCACGCTGTCGCTCAAGGCTAGAGTGTAGTGGAACGATCTCGGCTCACTGAAACCTCTGCCTCCCGGGTTTAAGTGATTCTCCTGCCTCAACCTCCTGAGTAGCTGGGGTTACAGGCACGCACCACCACGGCCAGCTAATGTTTGTATTTTTATTATTTTTTTAAGTAGAGACAGGGTTTTGACATGTTGACCAGGCTGGTCTTGAACTCCTGACCTCACAGGATCCACCCACCTTGGCCTCCCAAAGTGGCTCACTCAGAGAAGCTTAATCATCCCCTCATATTTTACAGTGCTCCTACGCAAATTTAGTTGATCAAATAAGCCCAATTTATTTAATATCTTTTTATTTTATTTAACAAAATTTTCCCTTTAACATTGGCAAAATAATCTATCTTTTTATAAGGAGAGAAAAGAATCCTTTTGAGATATTCCAGGGAAATCCCAAACGTTAATTTGGGGTCAAAAAGACTTAAATTGTTTCCTATTACAAGGGAGCAGATTCTTTGAGACGGAAGTCTCGCTGTTTCACCCAGGCTGGAGTGCAGTGGTGCGATCTCGGCTCACTGCAAGCTCCACCTCCCGGGTTCACGCCATTCTCCTCCCAAGTAGCTGGGACTACAGGCGCCCACCACCACACCCGGCTAATTTTTTGCATTTTTAGTAGAGACGGGGTTTCACCATGTTTCACCATGTTAGCCAGGATGGTCTCAATCTCCTGACCTCGTGATCCACCCGCCTCGGCCTCCCAAAGTGCTGGGATCACAGGCATGAGCCACCGCGCCCGGCTGCTGGAACTTTTAATAAGAAATCTCAGGTTAGGCTTTCAAAAGCCTCTTGAAGCTAAGAAGTCAAGCCAAGCACTTGATATCAGACTTTACCTGGAATACCTATAGATTTGGGTGGATTCCTCTTTCTCAAGGTTCCCGACATATTCTTGAGAAATACTGCCAAAAAAGGACAGTCTTTCCTCAACCTGTGAGGCCACAGAAGCCCTTTAATTCAGGTACAAGGGCAATTTTGTTTTCCTCCAAGGGGTTTCATTGGCTCCTTAAAGTCAACCCTAGTTCCTTAAAGCTACTCACATCTGATTTTATGCACATCACTCTCAAATATGATATTCCAGTCAAACACTTGGTAAGCTAACCAATATTTCCAATTGTTTCCTATTACAAGGGAGCAGATTCGTACTGAACTTAAGCAAATAACTCTATGGCCATAACAACAAAATTGCTAATAGTTTCCAAATTCTAGAGAGATCAGGTAGGGAGAAAAGTCATCGTTTCAATTTTGCTTACAAAAGTATAATGTACCGGAACGCTGTAAGTTATAAGTAGTTTCTTCACTTACGTTCTGGAAATTCTTGCCATGCAGTGGTGTGATCTTAATGTATCAGAAACCTGTACTGGTCAAAGTCTTCCCCATGAAATCTTCTTGAAGACACGAGACTTTAGGATTACAGTTGCTTGCAAAAGCTTTCAGGAAACCATCAGAGCGAAACAATTAACTGTGTATGACAGAAAGGCTTAAAATGGCCTTGGCTAAAGATATGATGAGATCACTATAATGTAACTGATGAGGAAGTTTGGTTATTCCTGTGGTGTATACCCTTTTTTTTTTTTTTTTTTTTCGCCCGCGGTGAGTTTTTTTTGCTATTTTTAGGTAGAGACGCGGGTTTCACGGTGTTAG